ATATCATTCTTTGAAAAAACTCTCAGACTCTATCATTAGGTACATGATGAAGATTTATTTTTTTATATTCAAAATTGGCTACATTAGAATTATTTTAAGAGCAAACCAATAGAAAGAATACTGTTCTGGTAATTAGGAAATTTGGAAGCTGGTCCTATCTCTGCTGCAAATTAGCTGTGTGTTCTTTGGGAAGACATTTAACCTCTTTTAGCCACAGTTTCTTCATTTACATAAAGTAAGTCTTTTGCAGTGCTAACAACCTTAATTTTGTTAGTAGGAAAACTGGCTAAGAACTTGACATCTCATTTATGATAAAGATGATACCAGCCAGTGGGGGGGAAATCACTATATTTCTTTACAGCCCAAATTACATTATGACATTCATCCCAACTCCAACCAAGCACTGCAAATTGTAGGAAAATATGCAGCAGACAAGAAGACAACTGAGTCAACTTTGTATAATATCATTACTGTTTTTCAGCCTCTGACACTTTCCTACATTTCAGTTCTCGCACCTTCTCTAGGTTTTCAAAGATAATCTTTCTACCTAGAACTGCCTTCTCTGAACCCAATTAATTAGCTATGTTTAGCCTTTTCCATTCCCTTCTATACACAGTAAACTCTGATCTCTCTCCCTACTTTTTCCTGTCCCTCTGTCCTATATACAATAAATTTTTATAATCTTCTCTCCCTGTCTGCATCTTTCCTTCCTTTCACCTTCTTTTCCCCCTCCCTACACACAATAAATTCTGATAAACAGTTCTGCCACTACTATTTACTAACCACCAACCGTGGGCCATCCACTGCTCAAGGAAAAGTAGCTTCTTTTATACCTTACAAAACCCCAAAAAGGTATATATTATTCATCTTATTAAAAATGAGGAAAAAGACTCAGGGAGATTAAGTAACAATTGAGGTGAGATAACAATTAAGTGGTAATGCCTTAACTTGAACCCCTATCAATCTGACTCAGAAACCTCTCCCCATTAGATAATTAATACAAAAGCAATAAACTTAATACAAAAGCAGTACAGAATTTAACCTTCTTCTGATGGCTGAAAATACAGTTTAGAAAAGGATACATTTCTTCCTCTACCATAGGAGAGAAGGAAGTAAAAATGGTTGATGATATAGGTATGTCTGGAAGGGAAAGAAGTGAAAGTATTGATAGTTTATGGTTGATGACCTCTATTAATACAAAGAATTAGGAATCTGGAATGCCAAATAACAAAATATGAATTGTTTTCATAACTCATCTTTAAAAATAGTAACTCTGGCTAGTTAGCCTCCATCTGTCTCAATTACCAAGGTCTCATTATATTCCATATTCAAACAAAGTCTATAAAATCATTTCTCCCATTTTAAAAAATTCTATAGAAAAGTGGAGAGAATTGTAAAAACCACAAACTTGTAAACTTTTTTACCTAGATTAAGTACTCACTGTTGCCATTTTACCACAAAATGTTCTCTCTCTTGCTTTCCCACAAATGATTTTGCTGAACCACTTGAATGAAAATAACAGATATGAAAAATCTCAAAATAATGGAACATACAACTTCTAAGAATAAAAATGCTTTCCTACATAACCATAATAAGACAATTAGGAAACTAAAATTCCTCAATATCACTGAATATACACTCCATAACCAACTTCTACAATTCTCCTAAGTAATATCTTCTTGTTTTTAATCTAGTGTCCAATCAAAGTTAAAATGATATATGTGATTATGTTTCTTTTAATCTAAGACAGTCTCCTTGATTTTTTTGTTTTGAATTTTTTTGTTTACCATGACTGACTTTTTGAAGAGCCCTTGCCAATTATCTTTCAGAATGTCTCACACACAGAACGTCTGATTATTTTGTGATTTGATTCAGTTAAACATTTTTGGTAAGAATACTACATTATCTTTCAGATAGTCCCGCAGTAGAATGTCTGACTATGTTTGATGATTAGATTCAGGTTAAGCATTTTTTAGATCTTTCTTTTTATTTTTGCAAGAAGAACTGGGGTGTAGGTCAGAGGTGCAGGGTGTGTGCGTGTGTGTGTGAGTGAGAGAGAGAGGATTCACCAGAAACAGAGTGGGGAGCACAGCAGGTGGATTTACTGAAATACACTGCTGAGGGGAGGAACAGGCAAAACAGGAGAGGTCTGCTGTGCCACATGTGTGTTAGCTCTCTCGCTAGGTATCAAATTTAGGCTGTAACAGTGTTAGTGCTGAGACTTTACCCTTAGGCCACCAGCGAGGTCCCAGATTAAACATTTTTGATAGGAATACTACACATGTGAAATTGTGGACTTCTTATCATATCTGATCAAAATTCTCAGTGTCAAACTATCCCACAATTGGTGATATTAAATTTGATCTCTAGGTTAAAGTGGTGTATGTCAGATGTCTGTTGTAAAGGCACATTTTCTCCTCTGTAATTATTAAGTAAACTGAGGGATGATACTTTTCAGACCATGTAAATACTCTGGTTCCCAAGGATCATAAACACAACGGTTTTACCATCCACCGATGACTCGGTTAAATCAGTCATTATGCTGGGCTCTAAAATGGTGATTTTGTCATCACATTGTACAATTAAACTGGGTGAAATTTATAGACTATAAATTAAAGCTCAATACAACTGCTTTTTAAAAAAATAACTCAATAACTTAGTCTATATTTGTTCCATTTCCTGTTAACATATTTTTTTCTGTCAAGAAGTGACTGCAGTTAAAGCATTTTATAAATAAGGTATTCAAGGTGAGGGTGAGCTTAAAAAAAGAATTCTGTTGAAATATATTCTAAAATGTGGTTCTCCAATTCTACCATTTCTTATACAATTATTAGCTGGTATGCTTTTATAAAGATTTTCCCCCTTATCTCCGCCTCCCCCGCTTTTTTTTGCAGGGGAATATCACTGTGGACTCTGGGGTTTTTTTCATTTCAATATATTATAATCCACTACTGGTATTATTGTTTTTTAATTTTACTTTTTTATTCGAAGGAACGTTGCATTATAACTTTACCTAAGTTTCAGGAGTGCAATATTGAGAATTAATATGGCATTATTCTATTTAATGTTCAAATTAATCTAATTTGGTCAGTACAATCCCATTCAAGTACAATCTTGCATCTCAATGTAACCTCACTAGTCTTTATAAACAATCTTTTTTTTCTGGAATAAAATGTCCTAAACTTAACCTATACTTTTCCTGTCTGACACCTGAGAGCAAGTATTTCCCCCAAAAGCCTTGGTTCCTTTTAATGGGGAAATTATTTTGAAACCAAGATTTAAGTGTTAAGTGTGTTCATTGCAACTGGGATATCTGTTAATGCTTCTTGGACCTTTCCAGGTATAGAATAAGAATATGCATTCATACTAACATTTGAATTCAAATTTATAGTACAAATAATAAGGATGAAAAGGAAAAATAAGATCTCTTATCTTTCAATGCAAAGCTTGGTTTCTATTATTAATATATTAATGTCTTGCTTTATCCTACTATATATAAAATAGCAATATTGGCATTATACTTCTGAAAGTAACAATAAACCTATTAAGAAAGTTTAAGATTGCTTTGCTGTTCTTCTTATCTTAAAGATTCCATCCTAGTGGAAAAACCAGAATAAGGTTTATAGAGAAAAAATGAAGGAACAAAAAAAGTAATGGTGGGATACAAATTGGAACTGTAGAAATAGAGCCAAGATATGGCCCTATACTCCTGCCAACAAATTTTCCTCCAAGTACAACTTTAAAAAGCAACCATAATCCTCACCATGTACCTCACCAGCTCATTCCCTGAATTGACCCGCCTATCTTTCTTCCTGAGATGGGTGTTATGTTATTTGCTAAGGTTCTAGAGCTGGGGGGAGGGGGGAAGACTTGGACATGACAGTGGCCATTCCTGGGGGAATGGCCTTAGGGATGGCATAGGCTCTGATGCGCCCAGACTGGCACAGGGGACCTCCACAGTGCATGTAAAATAAAGTATTACATCTTGACTTGGCCCTGGGACATCTCAAGCAGTCCTGCAACACTGGTCTGGTTATAGCATAAGCAACTATAGAGTGCCAAACCCTCCTAAATAGACACTTCTCCAAAGAAGACATAAGAACGGCTACAGACATATGAGAGAATATTCAACATCACTTATAAGGAAAACGAAAATCAAAATCACAACGATTTATCACCTCACCCTGTGAGAATAGCTATCTCAGAACAACTTGAAACAATAAATGTTGGAGAGGATACAGAGAAATAGGAACATTTGTCCACTCTTAGTGGGAATGCAATAGGGTAGAGTCTTTGTGGAAAACAGTATGGAGACTCCTCAATAAAATAAAAATAGAAATACCGTATGATCCAGCAATACCACTGCTAGGAATTTACTCAAAGAATATGAAAGCTCTAATACAAAAACACTTGGGCACATCTACATTCATATAGCAGCATTATTCACAATAGCCAAGACATGGAACTACCCTAAATGCCCACTAATAGATCACTGGATAAAGAAATTGTTGAATATATACTCAATAGAATACTACTGTTATTACAAAAGATGAAATAGTGTCCTTTAGGACACAATGGATAGATTTTGAGGTGATTATGCTAAGTGAAATAAGCCAGAAAGTGAAAGACAGTTATTACAGAATGGTTTCACTCACGTGGAATATAAATAACCAAAGAAATGAAACTGGCAAGAGCAAAAGTATTTCTTAGACTCTGTTCAAAAATTATACTGATTGCCAAAAGTCCTGTTTCTATCCCTGTCCTCCCACTCCCAATCCGATTCACCCTCACATTCATCAATTTCAAGTTTAATCTTCCTGTGCCTCATTTAATTAAAATAAATAATGCTAGTTCTTCAGAAATAATATAGACGTACCATGAGTTAAGTAAAACCCCTCCGAATGGACTCTGATTTGAATGCCGCCACTGTACACACAACTTGACGTATCACATTTTCTATTTTCAAACCAGATGGCTTGGTGTTACAGATAAACTCCTACCTGAATTCTCCTCAATCCACTGTAGAGAATCCATATGAGCATTCAGAATTTTGCAGATCTGCTGGAGCTAAAAACACAAGATTTTCAGATTATGATTATGTTAAAATGGTAAACAAAACTAAACCAAAAATTGAAATTAAGAAGTGTTTTTTTTTTCATTTCTGCTAGTAAGAAATAGACTGAGAATTTACTAAATGTTAATGGCTTTTTTGTTGTTTCATATTTTAGTGTTCACATCTATGTTAGTTCAATCTCATTATTTTATAACTGTCAAGAATTTGATTCCTAAAATTCAATGAGAAATTATCACAGTATAAAAATAAGTAAAGAACACTAAGAGATATTTCACAAGATGTACATATAAAAATTTAAAAATTACCTCCTGTCAACCAAATCAACAATTTTTACTAAGTGGGAATATTCTGTTATGAAGTATGTGGGGAAAATACGTATGTTCATATATAGTCAACAGTAATATAAATTGATGTAACCCTTAAAAATGTAAATTTTACAAAACATATCAAATTCTTAAAATATTCATGCCTTTTCTACTTCTAGAGACATATCCAGAGGAGAAAATCAAATCCAAACAAATCTAGTCATGGGGAAATTTTAAATGATAAAAATAGGGAATAATATCTCCACTAATAAAAAAAGATTGACTACATTAAGGTAAAGTCACTTATAATGAAATGTTATAGTCATTAAAACTATGATTTTAAATAATGGTTTAAAATTTGGGAAAATACCATGAAAGAATATCAAAAGAAGATAGAATATAAAACTTTATATAGCATGCTTCTAATGCTGTTTAAAGCAAAAAGAGTATTTTAACCAGCATAGCAAAATGACTTGAAACAAATATACCAATATATTAGAATAATATAGGTGATTTAATCATTTTTACAGTTCCTGTGCCCCATTTAATTAAAATAAGTAATGCTAGTTCTTCAGAAATAATATAGATTCCCATATTTTCCAAGTTTAATACATTGAATAAGTATAAGTATTAACTTAGTATTTCAACAAATATTCTAGCAAAGTCTAGGATAACATTGAAAATAGGAAATTAAAATGTTATCAAACTTAATAGTATGTAATAAAAACAGTAAATTTAATATATTTTAACATAATAAATAGAAATACAAGAATGAGTTGGAAAAAGGAGAAAAGTGACTGAATATCATACACAATAATATGGACTTCCTTAATAAAATTTTAGATGTTAGGCAGTCTCTCCCATCTTCCCTCCAAAAAGGTAAAAATAGACAGTATCACCATGGATACTATTAAACATACTTGCTATTTTTCTACCCTGACTTATGGCCCATAGTAATGAAGCTTTGTTGACCTGGTTACAATAAATTATTGTACCCAGAGAATATTATTGTTCAGCAAATGTTTTCTCTGCTTCCTGTCCAATGATTTATGCTATCTGCGGAAAGAGATGAATTGTTGCTGATCTCTTGCTTCTTTTGTCCTGTTATCAAGCAGCAATTATCTTTTCATTCACTCATCTTAAACATCTCAATCACCCATGCCAGGAAAAACAAAAACAAAAAAGACTCAAACCAGTTAATACTAGCTATTAAAGTAAAACAAGGCTAAGGAGAGAAAAAAGGATAAGAATAGGATTACAATTTCCTTCCTCACTTGACTTACTCTGTTCAGAACACTTCTCTTGCATTAATTCAACAATGAGAGAATAGACATTAGCTCTGCTTCATAGCTAAATCTGCATATATTCATCTACACATCAAAATTCTATTACAATCAAATAATTATGAGTTTCGGAATCACAACAGTGATCTAATATTTCATTAAAAAGAAAATTTAAATTGAGTCAACTCTTGATCATCTGTGTGAACACAGGGAAATGGCAGCATGGATAATCCTAGACTAATTTATATTTGTCTTTGTTCAACTTTAGATTCACCCAAAGTAGAGAACAGCATCATTTTTATAGCTGAAAGGAACTTCGAGATTATTGAGTCTACCCTTGACATATTGCAAAAGAAGGAGCCAAGATCAGAGGGATTAAGTGACTTAAAATTCTAATGTTTTCTCAACTATAACATGTTGTCTCTTTATAATTAAAATAGCTAGCAATATATAAAGAACTGCCTGTATATAATTGGGCAAAGAGCTTACTAAAATATAATCACCACTTATGTATATGTTATTCATCCTCACCTACCCAGATCCTGGCCCCATTCCTAATCACAATCAACTGATAGAAAGTACAATGGAAACGTCCACAATGGTCAATTCCTCTTATCATTACTGCCATGGAGTGTGACTGGGGGAAATGAGAACTCTATTTAGCTGCTATGCCAATAGGGGAAGGTATAGGAATAGTAAGGTATAGGTACAGTAAGATAAAGGGAATAAAACAACCGTTTCTTACCACCAAATTAATTCAAGGCATATCAATCCTCTCATTTACATTATGAGTTAAGTAAGTAGGACTCTATGGAGCAGGTGGAAAGCTAATAATCATATTTAACAAAATTTCTATGGGAAAACATTTCATATCTCAAATAGTTGATTTGTTAAACTTTTAAGATCTAATCTAATCACAAATTAAAGATTGCCTGGATATACCTAACAGATTCAAACATATATACTCACAATTATATGAGTATATAATTATGTAAAAGTGAAGAACAAGCTAACTAATGAGTAACAGAAAACAAATAAGAACAAAGAATAGGGAGAAACCCTAAAAATTTAGGAAGAAAATTCTTTTTTTAAACCCTCCTGGGAATAATGACAAAAAACTTAACATTTTTGGTCCCTAAATATTTCCTCCACTACTAACTACACCCATGAGCTTTTTATCTCTAGAGGCAAGTAAGGAACCTTCTAGAGAACAGGAGAAGGTGCCCAGATAAAAGAGCCACAGAATGTTAATTTCATACTAAATCTTAGTTGTCCAAAAAGATAAAGCAGTTACCATACCGGGTCAGTAGTGTCAGCTGGACTTCCAAAACTATTCAGGTGCTCAACAATGTCCTTGAGATCTTGAGTCATTTGTTTCAGCTGAGCATCTATATTTTCTGCTGATTTGTAACTGAAAAAAGCAGGTAAAATAAAGAGATTAACAAGAAATGTTTCTTCCATTATTTATTGTTATTGACATACAAAGATGATACTGCCAACTGGTTTTGCCCCAGTTCCCCTACTTTCTCAATGATTAATAGCACGTTTTTATGGACACAGCATTCATGACCTTTTCATTGCCATAGTCTAAAAGACTCCACAGATGAAGGCTTTTATCCACCTTGCCATTTTTACAGTCAGCTATGTACCCTCTGGATAATGTTCCAGGGAAACTCTTTGAAGCAAAGGAACTTTTTAGGTGTCAAAACAAACTCATAGGAAGTTTAGATATATGAGAAGTTATTTGTTCTTTAGCAATATTCAGTAAGTGCTGAGATATCTTCAGTGATCTTAAACACATAAATTTTCAAAGTAAAACCTTATACAAATATACTCCATCATTCAACAAAAGATGCTTCGAAAAATGAGATTCATAATAATCAAAGGAAGATAAATCTGCTAAGTTGACAACAAATTGATCAGTTGGCTAAATCTCAGTACACACACACACACACACACACACACACACACACACACATTCTCTCTCTTAACCTAGTCAATGAATATGTTTATGAGCATTAAAGTCACCAGAGGCTTTTTCACCCTTGATATCAATAAAGATTAAACGATTCAATTACATTTATAGATAACTGTTTATTGCCTTTCTGTCCCAAACTACTTATAGGTAATTGGTTGGTTAGATTGTTGAAAATTCTAATAAAGATTTTCACAATATAAATCTTGCTATATAAAAGCAATAGGAAGGGAACTAATGTTTTAATTATTTTTTCAAACTATAGTTAGGATCCATTGTCCAAAAACATAACTATATATTTCAGCAAAATGACAGAATGCATGAAAAGCAATGCCAAGAAAAGAAATGTTCACAAAGGTGGAAATGCAAAAGCAGAAACAGAATTAAGGTCAGTACAGATTAGTCATACTTACCATATTTAAAGCACTTACAAAAAGTTAACTTGTCAAACCTTTTAAAAATAAGCTGTCTTAACTCAATAATTCATTGACAAAATGAGTCCAATTTACTCTCAATTTAGTTTATGTAGCACATTCATACAAGTTCTCCTAACAACACTTTATGTCAAATCTCAGTTCTGGAAAGATAAAGTTACTATAGAAACACTGGCAATGTATCGACCAAAGGTAAAGGCTGAATAGCACACAAATAAAACATATCCAGCCCAAGACATTGACAAAATCATTCAATCTCTGAAAGCTTTGTAGTTAGTCTCCCAAAGTGCCTTTAAAATAGCATATGATTGATCTCTGAAGCAACTATATGAACATTAGCTTTAAAAAGAGTCAATATAAATAGGAGTCCAGAAATATTCCACAATACTATGATACCACACACATAAAATTTGTATTTCTAACTTAAGAACAAACTTGACAAACATAAAACTTTTACAATGCTTATATATAAGCTTGAGATTAATAACATTATATAAAATACTATAACAATTCAGAATGATTATTTTCAAGTATCACGAAAAGATAAACGGAAAAAGTCAAATAAGATGATAAATGACAACTATGAGAATTTGTCCTTTTCCTTCTGACTTATCTCACTTAGCATAATGGATTATGGTGGAGGACTATGAGTGCCTTGGTGATGGGTGTGGTATGGTAACATACACATGAAGAGTGTCAATCATATGCAGTGTTGTAAGCCAATGTTACCTCAATAAAAGTAAATAAATAAAAATTTGTCGTTTCCTCCCACATTTCAATCAATTTTACCCATTCTTTAGTAACTAAGTTCTGGCACATTCCTTGATCTTTCTTCAGTGACCTACGTGTTCTCATGTTCCCCATCTGCATGCTGCAGAGAAAGAGACCCATTCTGATCCTTCACAGAAGCCTCTAAAGGGATCAAGAGATCTTCTAGTTCCTTCTGCTGTGACAGGATAAAATCCAATTCTTGTTCCAGTCTGGAAAAAAAAAAAAACAACAAGTCAACCGAAGGGCAGATGAAAATAATTTGGAGTGACAAAATAAATTTCATAAACTACAACAAGGAAATAAATCAGACCAAGAGATAAATCTTCAACCTTCCAATCTAGGAAATCTAAGGTCCTACCTTTTCTGATCCTGTTTCACTTTTTCCACCTCTCCATGTAAAACAGTAATCTACAAAGAGAAATAAGAGTACAAATATGTCACTAACTGAATTTTTTGCAGTAAATTTTAGAGCAGTATCAATTTTCTTACACAAATATGAAAGATATCCTAATTCAGGGTGTACATTACCTAAGAAAAATATTTTAAGTTGATCACCCATTTTGGAATAGAAAATTAACCACAAACCACAGGTCTAGCTTCTTTCATTCATCTGAAAATACTTGTATAATGCAAGTAGATTAATGAGCATAGCGTCTTACCTTCTCACCATTCTCAATCAATATACGGTCCCAAGCATTGACCTGGGTGGCATGGTGAAGAAAGTATTTCTCTTGATCCTCTAGCTCAAGGTTCCACTTGTATAACAGACCCTGCAGCTGACCATATGTCATCATGGGAGTTACCAGCGCACTACAAAAAAGATGAGGATGATCACATGACTACACTTTTATCCTTGAACTAAATTTGTCATGTGCTTCAATCATTATTCTTTTTTATTTCTGAGTAGTTTTCCATGGTGTTGTGGATGTATCATAGTTTAACTCTTCACCCACTGATGGGCATCTAATGACTGTGACTATAAAAGGGCAACTCAGGAGGGAACCTTGGGATAAAACTGTTCCTTATCTTGACAGTGTCAATGTCAATATCCAGGATATGATATTGTACTACTGTATTTCAAGATGTTATTGTTGAGGAAAACCAGGTAAAGAACACACAGGATTTTTTGCTTTAATTTCTTATAAGTATATATTTCTTATAAGTACATGGCTTTATTTCTTATAAGTACATTTACCTTAAAATAAAAAGCTCTATTTAAAAAATGAGCAATTAGAGAGGAACATGGCATACATTTTATGAACACAGGCTCTGAAGCTTGACTGCCTGAATTTTAACCCTGACTCAATCATTGTCAAGTAAGGGTGTGACCAGGATCAAATTATAAAATATCTATGTATGCCGGTTTTCTCATGTATAAAAAGGAACAAACTATATGCTCTAGAATGTTCATTGCAGCACTATTTATAATAGCTAGTACATGGAAGCAGCCTAAATGCCCATCAATAGACTATTAGATCAAGAAGATGTAGTATGTCCACACTATGGAATACTATTCAGCCATAAGGAAAGAGGAAATGCAGCCATTTACAGCAAAATGTTAGGAATTCAAGGGAATTATGTGTAGTTAAGCAAGTCAGAAGGACAAAAACAAACACTGGACATTTACATAATGGACAATTTGACAAAGTAAAATACTTAACAAAAACTAGCAAAACATTAACAAATGCTACAAGGGTTTTGAAGTTAAGAGGAAGAAGAGGGGAGAAAGGAACAAGATGATGTTAAGGAATGGTGGTGAGGAAAAAGAAAACAATTACTGAAAAATTTTTCAATTTTTTTCCACCAATTTAAAAATGTAATCAAAAAGAGAACTTACTTCATAGGGTTATTGTGAGGATTATATATAATATAATACATATAAAAGCAGTCATACTGCTAAGCATATAGTAATTATACAATAAATGTTAGCTTTTAATCATAATAGTAACTAATAATTGTATTATGGTATTAATGAGAAGACAAAGGTACGCTATTGTTCAACTTCTTAAATTATAGAACTCCGTCCACTAATTGTACCTTTGAGTCACCTAAATTTCAAACACTATTCTAAAGTTATGTGAGCAAAATAATATTCCATGGAGCTAGAAAGAATTACGCTCAGTGAAATAAGTCAGAAGGAAAAAGATAAATATCGGATGGTTTCACTTATAGGAGGAATATAGGGGAACCAAATAAGACATCAGGGGAAAAAATAATAATAATCCAAAACACAAGAAAACAAAAAACAAACAGACAATTATAAATCAGAGACATCCTGCAGGGGAGGAGGAGGGAGAGGTTTCAGAGGGAGGGAGGAGCACAGGGGACTGTGGTGATGGTTCATGGGTGCACTGGTGAAGGAAACTCTATGGGGACTACATCTCAGGGGGAGATTAAAAAAAAGCAAACATTGTTTAAAAATGAACAATGATGTAAAAAATATATGAAAAAATAAAAGAAATAATAAAAAGAAAAATTTCCAAAAAAGCTATGTGAGCAAATTATGCTTTGTGCATGATAAGTAAAATGAAACTCACACAAAATTCATATAAATAGACTTACTTAATGGTTGAAGTAAAAGGCACAGAAGTCATATTGGCTGAATCACTGACATTAATCCCAGCTGACACGGGTTGTTTTAGATTCAAAGCAAAGTCACTGGTGGTGATGGTAGTGGTGGTGGTAGTGACAGTGGTGGTGGTAGTTGTTGATGTAGCTGTAAGTGAGAAATGAGAAATTTCCTTTATTTAGTCCTTGAATGTTCAGGGAAAAAACTCTACAAGCATTTTAAAATGTTATTTTGAATAAAAAGTTATTGTGGTTTGAAGTCAATGTTGTTGTAACATGAAGTGATACATGCTAGGTCAGGTATCCGTGTTAACCTTTGTGCTGAAAATGAAATACCCTGGATAAACTTGTAGAAAAAGAAAAATTCATAACCTAATCAGGCCTATAACCATGAAAGAAACTGAATTAATACTCAAAACGTTTCCCCAAGAGAAATCTCTAGATCCACATCCTAGAAATTTTAAAATCTTACTAGCTACAGAAGGAGCTGCTCAACCTATACCAACAAATTTTAATCAAATTTATAGCACTAAGTATAAATTTATAGCACTAAGTATTCCCAGTTGAATTTGTTGGGGCACCAACTACAGAGAACAACATAATATTACCTATTACCCTTTTAATTAAAAACAGAGAGGAATTTATATAGGATCCTTTAGAAACTTTTGGTTAATATTCAAGAAATGTCCAGAAAAGGCAAGTCTGTGGAGATAGAAAGTAGATTATTATTTGTATGGAGCTGAGATCTTATTGGGATGATAGAAATGTTCTCAAACTGGATTATAGTGATGGTTACACAATAAAGTTAATAAAAATTCAGTAAGGTTAATAAAAATCACTGAATTATACACCTAATTTCATGATATATGTTATGTCTCATTGAAGATAATTTAAAATTACTGTGGTCAAGAATTCATCTCCTCTTACAGGCAAAGATATCAAAGACAGGAAGAGAAAGAAACCTTCCTGTCAGAGGGCAAGTGTTTTATTGAAAATGGAATTCATCCAATAATTTAAACTCCCAACCTCAGTCATGATTATAGTCACAAAATCTATTATAGCTAAGAAGGATGCTGTTTACACACATCAAAAGTTTTTTTAGAATCTTAGTCCTGTCTCAAAATTGTAAGTCTATGTGGCAGAAAGCACAACTCAAGTGGCGACTAGCAACTTTAACCAACGTTTACCATGTCAACTGCACAAAAGGATGGGGATGGTACGCTGCTGTTCTTCACACACAACTAGGCATTAGCAATACCCGACAAATTTTATCCCCAAGCTATGGTGATCATCTTGCTGTAATACAGTTTTGGGAGGACCATGTTACAGTAAGGATTACAACAACAAAGTCTAATGGTAAACATGGCATTGTGAAGATGCCTCAAAAGTACAGTAAATTTACATGGACCTGTGAAAAAGAACTGCCTGAGAGATGTATACAGAATTTAATATTCTCAAAAGAAGCTGGGGTTATGAGATAATTAATATCCCATTTCTCAGCTCAAAGCACCCAGATATTTCTTTTTAAGAGGAGAGGTAACAAACACCACACAGTGTCAATTAAAACTCCAAAATACAGTCAATCTTTTTGTTATGTTCTGCGTCTGGTGGATAAAATGTAAGCACTATAAACCTGGTCTACATAGAAGAATGCACTGCAACAAGGCTCCCATTTATTTAAATGGGAAATATAATTTCCTGTCTTATTCAAACAGATAGTAAGATTTCCCTTCAAACATACTTGGCAAAACTCTTACTCCTATTCCTGTTAGGTTCAAGTTGTCTGAAAACATCACAGTGTTAATGAACTGTACACTTAAAAAATCACTTTAAGCTTTAATAATCATGTTACTATAAAATTCACAGGTAAAACTGTGACAACTATATTTATAAGCAAAGCTATTATTGATATAAGGAATTACAGATGGGATCAAGCACAATAACAATTTTGAGATGCAGGAGTTCCATACTTTATATTGTCAAATTGAGTTAAGTAGCCTGATCCGAATTAATATTTTCTTTGCAACTAGTAACTTACCTGAGAGCCCAGTAGCAGCAATGGAGGTAGAAACATCTGACAGTGAGGTAAACAGCATAGTGCTTGAATCAGTAGTGGCAAGAGCAGATGCTTGAATCAAACCTAGAAATCAAAATAACAGAGAAATATATCACTAAAATGATTTTTAAAAAGTAAAACACCATTATAATTTAACAAGTTTCAATTATATGGAGAAATATAAACAAAGCAAGGGAAATCAGTTACCTTGAAATCTAGTATCAATCATAGGAAGTAAAAGCCTGATTAAAAAAGTAGTTCATCAGTACTGCTTACTATAGCCAGCCTTCTAGCACCACCATAACAAAGAAATTCAACTCTACTGAAAAAGTAAGAGGGAGATCCGCTTCCAAAATTGAGACATAAGAAGTCCTGGAGCCCCATTCCCAGTGAAATGACCATAATTGGTGAAAAAAAAGTATTTATTGTTTTGAGATATCTGGAAATTGTCCCAAAAGCATAAAGCAAATGAAAGAGCAATTATTTATTTCAAGAAAATATACCAAAACTTAATAACACTAGTGACAGTTTGTGGCATATTAACAACAGCCCACTGCCTGCCTTGCCTCTTTCCCCCTACTCACCTTGACGGAAACTATACTCCAGGCAGGAGTGACCAAGAGGACCAGACTCCCTGTTCTCTCAGCTCCCAGCCAAGGGATACAGTATCTCTCATTGAGAAGAGCAGTAGCTAGCATTTTTTATTGCCTCCAACACAGAGTTAAAAGGCTGAAATTCCTGGTGAGTACAGCAAAGAGCTGAGAGGTTCCCTTCCTCCGGTCAGTCATCACTCAGGGCAGAGGCTGTACCCCAGGCACAGCAGATTGAGATTACGGGGGCCCCATCAACTTACCCTGACTGCTTTGCCCTCGCCCAATTGTAGGGCTGAGGTTTCATGTATGAAGATATAAGCAAGAAAACCATGTGCTATTGCCACTGCTCAGCACCCAAAGCACTAGTTTAAAGATCTTCCCCAGGAGTAAAGGTAGCCCATAAGAACAGACGACTCCCAAGCTATCTCCCAAAGAATTGATTTTTTTAAATTTAATTTTATTTATTTATTTTAAAATAAATTTTATTTTTATATTCCCCATACAATTGCAACCCCCTTATTTTGACCCCAATCCCTCCCCTCCCCGCCCCCCACCCCTATAGAGAGTCTCTGGTTCATAGTTTTTTGTTGATTTTGATTTTCACTTTCTTATAGTTATTCCCAAAGAATTGATTTTTGAAATGCAAAACATTATTGAAATAAACTAAAGATATTCTAAATAAATAGAAGGATTTCATGTTCATGGATTAGTATTAAAATGGTGTGGTAGGGCCTCCACGGTGGTGCAGCGGTTAAGCGCTGGGCTGAGTAGCTGCCCACAGCCTCTGCAGCGCCAGTTCCATGCCCGGCCTCCAGGTGAGGGTCCCACATGGCGCGTAGACCTTTCCTGCCGCCCGCTGCTCCCCTCAGCAGTGTACTTCGGTCCTTCTGTCTGTTCTGCTCCCTGCTCTGGCTCTGGTGAATTCTCTCATCCTCCCATGCTTCTGACTGTACCCAGGGCTTGTATAATAAATAAATAAATAAAATCTTTTTAAAAAATAAAAATAAAATAAAATAAAATGGTGTGATAGACAAAAAATGGTCCCTACAGGTGGTGGCAACCTAATACGCAGAGCCTGTAAACCTATTTCCTTACTTGACAAAAGAAACTTTATAAATACGATAAAGGTTAAGTACCTTGAGATAGGGAGATCATCCTGGATTATTGCAAAAAGTAATGACAAGATTTTTACTTTATTATAATTAGTCTTTTTCCTGGTCCCTTATTTAGGTTTTCTAAATTCCTGCTATGAGTGAGACCATCCAGTATTTTTCTTTTCCTTTCTGGCTTATTTCGCTGAGCATGATCCCTTCCAGCTCCATCAACAAGCAACTATAAAGCAAAGACACACTACGGGGGGGGGGGGGGGGGGAGTGGGGGGGAGACGGGAAGAGGAGGAAGGATTAGGGTCAAAATAAGTGGAGTGGGAATTGTATGGGGGATATAACCATGATGAAAATGCATATATTGTGCAAAAATGAAAAATGATATAAAAATATACAAAATAAAATTTTAAAAAAGTAATGACAAGAATCCCTAAATGTAGACCTATTTTCCAGGCTGTGATCAGAGGGAGATGTGACTATAAAAGAATGGTTAGAAAGATACAAAATTCCTGATACTGATGGAATTTAAGACAAGAAAACATACTCAATGTCATTAGTCATTAAAAAAGTGCAAATCAGGGCCTCCCTAGGTGGCACAGCGGTTGAGCACTGGGTTGTGAAGCTGCCCGCAGCCTCTGCAGCACCAGTTCAATCCCCGGCCACAAGTGAGGGTCCCACATGGAGCGCAGACCTCTCCTGCCGCGCCCGCTGCTCCCCTCAGCAGTGTATTTCATCCGTCTACCTGTTCTGTTCTCCGCTCTGGCTCTGGTAAATTCTCTCACTCTCCTGTGCTTCTGACTATACCCAGTGCTTGTATAAATAAATAAATAAATAAATCTTTTTTTTTTTAAAGTGCAAATCAAAACCACAATGAAATACTAGTTCAAACCTACTAGGATGGCTATAATCATAAAGAAAGGTAATATCAACTGTTGGCAAAGTTGTGGAAATATCGGAAACCTCATACACCACTACCAGGAATGTAAAATGGTACTGCCTCTTTCAAAATTGTCTGACACTTCTTCAAAGTGTTAAGCATAGTTAGCATATGACCCAGTAATTTGACTTCTAGATATCTGGACAAAATAAATGTAAACACATATCCACTCAACAACATGTAATGAAGTTCATAGAACATTATTTCCAACAGACAAAAGATGGGAACAACCTTAATGAAAATCAAGTGATGAATGGATGAATAAAGTGTGGTATATCCATACAACAGTTGCATTTGGTCATAACAGGAAAATCAAGCTTTGATACATGCTAAAACACAGAGGAGTCTTGAAAGCATAACTTTTACTTAAAGAAGCTAATCACAGGGCCTCTCCGGTGGCGCAGCGGTTGAGCGCTGGGTTGCGAAGCTGCCTGCAGCCTCTGTGGCGCCGGTTCGATCCCTGGCTGCCGGGCTAGGGTCCCACATGGTGCGCAGATCTGTCCTGACACCCGCTGCTCCCTCAGCAGTGTACTTCGTCACTCTGCCTGTTCTACTCCCCACTCTGGCTTTGGTGAATTCTCTCACCCTCCCGCGCTTCTGACTGTACCCAGTGCTTGTATAAATAAATAGATAAATCTTTAAAAAAAAAGCTAATCACAAAAGACCACAGAATATATTATTCCAGTTATATGCAGTGTCCAGAATAGTGAAATATAGAGATAGGAAGTAGTTGCTAGGGACTGGGGGGAGATGAAATGGATAGTGACTGCTAATGGGTGCAGAGTTTCTTTAGGGGATGATGAAAACATCCAAAAATTGACTATGGTAATGACTATACAGCTCTGTGAAAATACTAAAAACAAATTAATTATACAAAGAAATAAATCTAAAGAAACTACACAAAGACACAAGTAAGATTAATTGGTTAAGTGAAAATGGAATTCATTTCTTTCAACCTTGCTACAGATCACTGTGCATGGCATATGGTAGTAAGTGCCCTATAAATATTTATGTTGAATTAAGCCAACATTTTCCAGACAACAAGATATAATCACATATTATATTTCCTAAAAATAAAAAAACTGCTGTCAGGTGCCAGTAACACAAAAGGTGGGCACCAAGATCACACCTACTAGTTCCTCTGGCTTAGAAGAAATTTCCCTCGGGCTTCTGGTCATTTGGCTGCCGTTTTATGTCCTATTTTAGAAGCTGAGGACATGAGTAGGAGTTACCAAAAATGACTGAGATGACACACCTAGTAAATGATCAAGATGGCACAGAGGAGGTTCCTTGCTTCATTCCTGAGACGATCATCTGAATTAATCAGATGGGCATTACACCCAGTGAATCTGTGGTTTGGGATGAAACTAGAACACCTCGTGGATATCAGAGACCAGCACAGCCTGTACCAGAAAGTACAAAGAGGAGATCCATGCTTCACTGAAGGAGAGATAGGTGGACAAAAAAATCTGGAGGTTGTGGTTGGGAAAAGGAGGCTACCTTAAAAACAGCTCTGTCAGTCATTAGAAGCCCTGGGGAGAGCTAAACACTGTGGAAGTACACACCCATGAGTGAAGAGAAAAACATGCAGAGGAGCTTGGATGCTCCCTGCAAGAAAACAAGGACAGTATGCTGAACTGTATACCTTCCCTCTTATCCTGTGTGACTGCTACTGACTTCATGAAGACCACAGACAGTTTGCAGACTACAAAGTCTCAGCTCTGTAACCCCAAAAAGGAAGGATATCAATGGTACCATAAACACAAGCTCCCTATACTCCAGCATATTCACAACAGCTACATTCCTCCAGGTCACTCCCCTACCCCCTGACTCAGCTGCACTAAGTTCAGATATCTGAAACTACAGAAGGCAAAAGAGGTCAAATATCTAAAATCAGATAAAACCATAGTGCCACTTGCTGGAAAGTAGAAGTAGTTCAAATCCCTGTTACTTAATAGATACTTAAAACAAAAAGAAAATTAAAGCAGCAAAATGGGAAAACAACTAAACAAACCAACACATGACAACCTGAAACCTCATAGGATTTGACATTAGTAGGAGAGAACAATTCTCCAGAATCCAACCACAAGGACATAGGAGATTTTACCTCCCCATCAGATAAAAATTCACAATCATCATGATAAAATAATAAATTTGTCATGATAAAACAAATTTGTGGAAAATCAAAATGATCTAAAAAACTCGGAAAAGCAAATCAAAGAGATACAACAAATCCAGAAAAACAAATGAATGACTTAGAAATAAAAAAAATAGATACCAAAACTTTAAATAAGAAAATAACATATTCAGAAGGTAAAAGCTTAATAGATGAGATTAAAAATTCTACAGAAAGCTATAGAAGCAGAACAAACCAAATAGATGATCAGATTAATGATCCTGAAAGTAACAATACACAAAAGATCCAAGTGGAAAAACCAGAAATATGGA